GAAATTGCCCCCGGCGCGATTTTTGTTTCCGATCAACCTGTCAAATTTTCACCAATTTCGACACAGTTGCGAAAAATGACGAAATTCACCCGGCGCTGTTTTTGTTCCCGATCAGCTGTCAAATTTGCGCCCATTCCGACAAGGTCGCAAAAAATGACGAAATTGCCCCCGGTGCGATTTATGTTTCCGATCAACCTGTCAAATTTTAGCCCATTCCGACACAATCGCAAAAAATGATGAAATTGCCCCCGGCACGGTTTTTGTTTCCGATCAACCAGTCAAATTTTAGCCTATTTCGGCATCGTCGCGAAAAATGACAAAATTGCCCCCCGCGCAATTTTTGTTTCCGATCGACCTATCAAATTTGAGCCCATTCCGACACAGTCGCGAAAAAGGACGAATTTGCCTCCGGCGCGATTTTTGTTCCCGATCAACCTGTCAAATTTGAGACCATTCCGACACGATCGCGAAAAATGATGAAATTGCCCCCCGAACGATTTTTCGTTTCCGATCAACCGGTCAAATTTTATCCCAATCCGACACAGTCGCTAAAAATGACGAAATTACCCCTGGCGCGGTTTTTGTTTCCGATCAATTGTCAAATTTGAGCCCAATCCGACACGGTCGCAAAAAATGACGAAATTGCCCCTGGCGCGATTTTTGTTTTCGATCAACCTTTCAAATTTTAGCCCATTCTGACACAGTCGCGAAAAATGATGAAATTGCCCCCGGCGCAATTTTTGTTTCCGATCAACCAGTCAAATTTTAGCCCATTTCGACATCGTCGCGAAAAATGACAAAATTGCCCCCGGCGCGATTTGTTTTCCGATCAACCTATCAAATTTTAGTCAATTCCGACACAGTTGCGAAAAATGACGAAATTACCACCGGCGCGGTTTTTGTTCCCGATCAACCTGTCAAATTTGAGGCCATTCCAACACAGTGGCGAAAAATGACGAAATTGCCCCCGGCGCGATTTTTGTTTCCGATCAACCAGTCAAATTTTAACCCTTTCCGACACAGTCGCAAAAAATGATTAAATTGCCCACGACGCAATTTTTATTTCCGATCAACCTGCCAAATTTAGGCCAACTCCGACATAGTCGAGAAAAATGACGAAATTGCCCCCGGCGCGATTTTTATTTCTGATCATCCAGACAAATTTTAGCCCATTCTGACACAGTCGCGTAAAATGATTAAATTGCCCCCGACGCGATTTTTGTTTCCGATCAACCTGTCAAATTTTAGCCAATTTCGACACAGTCGCTAAAAATGACGAAATTACCCACGGCGCGGTTTTTATTTCCGATCAACCTGTCAAATTTGAGCCCATTCCGACGCAGTCGCGAAAAATGATTAAATTGCCCCCGGCGCGATTTTTATTTCTGATCAACCTGCCAAATTTAAGCCCACTCCGACATAGCCGAGAAAAATGACGAAATTGCCCCCGGCACGATTTTTGTTTCCGATCATCCAGTCAAAATTTAGCCCATACTGATACAGTCGTGAAAAATGATTAAATTGCCCCCGGCGCGATTTTTGTTTCCGATCAACCTGTCAAATTTTAACCAATTCCGACACAGTCGCTAAAATGACGAAATTAGCCACGGCGCGGTTTTTGTTCCCTATCAACCTGTCAAATTTAAGCCCATTCCGACACAGTCGCGAAAAATGACGAAATTGCCCCCGACGCGGTTTTTGTTTCCGATCAACTTGTCAAATTTTAGCCAATTCCGACACAGTCGCGAAAAATGACGAAATTGCCCCCGCCGCGGTTTTTGTTTCCGATCAACCAGTCAAATTTTAGCCCATTTCGACACAGTCGAGAAAAATGACGAATTTGCCCCCGGCGCGATTTTTGTTTCCGATCAACCTATCAAATTTGAGCCCATTCCGACACGGTCGCGAAAAATGACGAAATTGCCCCCGCCGCGGTTTTTGTTTCCGATCAACCAGTCAAATTTTAGCCCATTTCGACACAGTCGAGAAAAATGACGAATTTGCCCCCGGCGCGATTTTTGTTTCCGATCAACCTATCAAATTTGAGCCCATTCCGACACGGTCGCGAAAAATGACGAAATTGCCCCCGCCGCGGTTTTTGTTTCCGATCAACCAGTCAAATTTTAGCCCATTTCGACACAGTCGAGAAAAATGACGAAATTGCCCCGGCGCGACTTTTATTTACGATCAACTTGCCAAATTTCACCCCATTCCGACACAGTCGGAAAACTGACGAAATTGCCCACGGCGTGGTTTTTGTTTCCGATCAACCAATCAAATTTTAGCCCATTCCGACACAGTCGCGAAAAATGGCCAAATTGCCCCTGGCTCGATTTTTGGTTCCTATCAACCAGTCAAATTTTACCCCATTCCGACACAGTCGAGAAAAATGACGAATTTGCAACCGGTGCGATTTTTATTTCCGATCAACCTGTCAAATTTCAGCCCATTCCGACACAGTCGAGAAAACTGACGAAATTACCCCCGGCGCGATTTTGTTCCCGATCAACCAGTCAAATTTTAGCCCATTCCAACACCGTCTCGAAAAATGACGAAATTGCCCCCGGCGCGATTTTTGTTTCCGATCAACCTGTCAAATTTTAACCAATTCCGACACAGTCGAGAAAAATGACGAAATTGCCCCCGGCACGGTTTTTTGTTTCCGATCAACCTGTCAAATTTTAGCCCATTTCGACACAGTCGCTAAAAATGACGAAATTGCCCCTGGCGCAATTTTTGTTTCCGATCAACCAGTCAAATTTTAGCCCATTTCGACACAGTCGAGAAAAATGACGAAATTGCCCCGGCGCGATTTTAATTTCCGATCAACCTGCCAAATTTCACCCCATTCCGACACAGTCGGAAAACTGACGAAATTGCCCACGGCGTGGTTTTTTGTTTCCGATCAACCAGTCAAATTTTAGCCCATTCCGACACATTCGCTAAAAATGACGAAATTGCCCCTGGCGCGATTTTTGTTTCCGATCAGCTGTCAAATTTGCGCACATTCCGACACGGCCGCAAAAAATGACGAAATTGCCCCCGACGCGATTTTTGTTTCCGATCAACCTGTCAAATTTTAGCCCATTCCGACACAGTCGCGAAAAATGATGAAATTGCCCCCGGCGCGATTTTTGTTTCCGATCAACCAGTGAAATTTTAGCCCATTTCGACATCGTCACGAAAAATGACAAAATTGCCCTCGGCGCAATTTTTTTCCGATCAACCTATCAAATTTTGGTCAATTCCGACACAGTTGCGAAAAAAGACGAAATTACCCCTGGCGCGATTTTTGTTCCCGATCAACATGTCAAATTTGAGCCCATTACGACACAGTCGCGAAAAATGACGAATTCGCCCCCGGCGCGATTTTTATTTTCGATCAACCAGTCAAATTTTAACCCATTTCGACACAGTCGAGAAAAATGACGAAATTGCCCCGGCGCGATTTTTATTTCCGATCAACCTGCCAAATTTCACCCCATTCCGACACAGTCGGAAAACTGACGAAATTGCCCACGGCGTGGTTTTTTTTTTCCGATCAACCAGTCGCTAAAAATGACGAAGTTGCCCCTGTCGCGATTTTTGTTTCCGATCAGCTGTCAAATTTGCGCCCATTCCCACATGGTCGCTAAAAATGACGAAATTGCCCCCGGCGCGATTTTTGTTTCCGATCAGCTGTCAAATTTGCGCCCATTCCGACACGATTGCCCCCGGCGTGGTTTTTTTTTTCCGATCAACCAGTCGCTAAAAATGACGAAGTTGCCCCTGTCGCGATTTTTGTTTCCGATCAGCTGTCAAATTTGCGCCCATTCCGACACGGTCGCTAAAAATGACGAAATTGCCCCCGGCGCGATTTTTGTTTCCGATCAGCTGTCAAATTTGAGCCCATTCCGACACGGTCAAGAAAAATGACGAAATTGCCCCCGGCGCGATTTTTGCTTCCCATCAACCAGTCAAATTTCAGCACGTTTCGACACCGTCGCGAAAAATGTCGAAATTGCCCCGGCGCGATTTTTGTTTCCGATCAACCAG